ATACCATATACATTTTTGATATTTATATGGAGTCTGATATATATCATATTTAATGGTTGACTTGAGACTATATGGGTTCCTATAAAGAGGACGTGAAAAATGTTGAGATACATTGGAGTACCTCCGGGACGTTTCCACTAGGTCTCTCACTAATTTATTGTGAGTTCCCTAGCCTAATTCACAAAATAATCAAGTGAAAAATTGTCATGATATTCCTTTTATACTATAATGCTATGTATTTTCATGCGCTGACTTTCTAATATATAACAAATACTCAGAAAGTATTTAGCAGGAAGGAGACATTTTGAAAGCACCATTAAATCAAAAAAAAAATATTTAAAAAAAATATTTATTTAATTTTACATTTCGAGTGTTTATATAGCATTCTTCTCACTGTATGTAGATCCATTGTATTCAAGTGTTGTATTGTTTTTGTACTGCCTATAATGAAACAATCAATAGTTGCATGCAATATATTGGTATATTGCTTTTATATGTTTTTATTAGAGATCAAAGAAGCTATGAATATGAATAGTCAACATGGCCTCATAATGTATATATGACTTATTACCAAGACCTTATACCGAACTTTCAGATATCTCCGTCTTCTTGGTAACAAATACATACGCATAACATGATAATAGAAATCTCCTGAAAATATTTTCGAATACTGAATATGGTTTTACAGTTAGTAGGTTTTGTTTTAATGATAACACGAAGTATATGCTTGGTAGAAAATTGTTAACAATGACAAAGTGAATAGCTGTGTCACTGTAGACAGCATTTGTCATTTTAAAGTATTACATTGTCATATTAATGTATTATATTGTCAGATTACAGGGCTCATCATATTTGAGTAGCCTATTTACCTATTGGTGTTCTTTCAAGGTGAAGAGATGTACAACATTTTTTAACTCAGGCCGAAAATGAAAAATTCCAAATTTGGACATGATGAACACCTTTTTCGAAAATGTACCAGTATGAAAGAATATGATGGATTGATCTAGGAGGAAATATAATTTCAACTTTTGTTTAAAACAGTCAACCTTGAATTTTGATGTAAGTCCTGTGAGATCATTTACTACTGAGAAAACCTTGTATATAAATGTACTGTAGAGTGATGCACACTAGAGAAGTACAAACTATGATGACAAATTGAACAATGATGATATTCATTCTACAATAATGACATTTCATAAAATAAACACCATCTTAATCATTCATTTGAAATACATCTGTTTGAAAATCAGTTTTCCTTGATAAGAATTCACAGTATTAGCAAATCATCATGATTGTTGTTAGTTTAGAGAGCTTGAAACCTGTATCTGGGTTGTTCTCAAGCCATAATGCGCATACCATGGGGTACGGTTGCATTTTAATGTCCCTCTCTATTTATGCAACATGTTGCTAACTACTTCTAGTGAATATAGTTTAACATCAGAGTCTACCATTATGGTGAAACACTACCTTATCAAATGGGAGTTGTGTACTTTAAGTGAATCAAATGTCTCCTCAAATGAAGAGTTAGAAATCATTCAAGTGATCGCAAATGGTAATGATTGTTGCAAAATAATAACAGCAATTTGATGAACGAAAACCACCCATGATTACATCAGTTCCAAATACAATGTGCCCCTGTGTGTCTTGAGATCTCCAAGCTGTGGCTACCAGGTTGAAATAAAGTAGCACACATGTTAAAACCCACTGGAGCATGATCAACCCTCTGGTCCTATTTAATTCTGTCTGGAGGTTTTGGGCCATTAAGCACATCCTAAGGGCAGGGTTCAGGAGTCATGTAGCCAGGAAGAGCCCCCTTGGGGCCACAGGGACATGTTGGGTCACTGGTTTACATCCAGGGATCTCCTTTATACATTCTGGCCACTGATTATAGAATTTTTAATTTGAATTTCGAACTTTAGTTCAGTTTGCTTACAAGGATTTAAGATTCATACATATTGAAGCACCATGGGAGAATGCAACACAGGATCTTATGCCCGTTTTGCAACAATGCTGTGTGTCATATTTCCTTGTCTTGTTAAATGACACTGGGGTTTGGTTATTTGGGTAGAATTATTATGTCTACTCCAATGTTAGATGTTGTTAAGTCACAAGCCAAGCAGGTTGTATTCATCTTGGGTTTCCAAGAATGAGGTTTCATGAAAGTCACACAGGAAAGCAAGAATTGGTTATATTCTGGAAGGTCAGGGTAAACATATATGGGTCATTAGCTGTGGAAGACATTCCAACCACTACTGATAACAATGATGAATATGGTCCATGGGATGGATAACCTAAAGTTGGTGATCAGTGACCCATGGACATATCTAATGACCCGTGGCAGGATAAAAGAAGCTTGGATTATAGATTTCCTTAGGATTAGGGTCCTTCATTTAACCCTGGAGCTAAACCTGCTGTTCTAAAGGTATTTCCCATGTAAGGCTTGTTCTGGCTCACAAAACAAAATAACCCAAGCAAATCGAACATTATGGTCAAACTTTCTTCTGTAGCATATCTCCAAATGAGATAAGATATGGATAGCTCAATCCAACAATGCTATATATCTATAGAACTTTCTAAATCAAAGTAATTTGAAAAATAAGCATATTCATCAGATTTTTCAAAAAAAAGTTTATACACGTTGTAATGGTAGCCAGCCAAGCATATCACCTTCAGTGTTCTAAGGTCTGGGTGTGAATTAGGATAAGTGCTGGGGGATTAGGACATCTTACCTTCAAAACATCTCAGGATTTGGATGATTCTATTGAAGTGCAGTTGAAGACCATGTTATAGTATGTGTTCAGTAAACCATGACCACATTTCACTGATCCATGTCTATCTCCTTATTGTGTGCTACTATTAATGGGATTCATAGTAGATATTCCATATAAATCAGACATTAATATGACTGTTTTATACCATTGGACCAATAAATGTGATTTCAGTTGAGAAAATATTGAATGTCTTTTTGTCACAAAAATACATCTTTGAATTAAAGGATTTCTTGTCGAATCATATATTTTATGATGTACATATCATCATTTCATCATTACGTTACCAGGATGTAACATATTGTGATTAAGTCTAAATACCATTTTTTGCATGTTGTTTTCAATTAGAAGGAATACATGTATATTTGATATTATCATTATAAATAATGCTGATGATACGGGTACACTATATGGGTATATATGTGGGTCTTAACATCTTTGAAACATTCTGACAAGATGCTTTTTATTATTATTATAATGTCATAGCGTTTTCTGTTGATTATTATAAATGACTCATAAATTTTAAATATATACTGCATGGTTAATTTGGACTAGAAAATGGACATGGCATTTTTAAAAACACTCCTAAAAATGTTTATTTAAAATATCAGATTAGGCATGCCTCTTATATATTACACTATACGACATGTACACTCTACTATTAAAAAATTGAATTTCTCATAATTTATGGCACATTTTTCTTCAGTCATTGTTTAATAACAGATATTCGACTTTTCTCTCAGGGTATTCTTAGGGTGCATTGTGCAGGGCTATACAGTTTAGATGGTGTAAATCTAGGAAGATTAATGGCTAGTAAAAGTTCTCCATCTGTTATGGCTGGGATCTCTCTTGGTTCTGCTCAATGTCTATCAACAGCTTTAGTATTAGTAGCTTTATCAGGCAAGGTCATATAACCCATAAGCCACTGTGGGCATATAGATACTGTTAGCCAATGTGGATATTATTAGTCACTAAGCCATAGTGGCAATATTAGATACTGTAAGCCACTGTGGATATTAGCTACTGTAAGCCATTGTGGCTATTATTAGTCACTATAAGCCATAGTGGCTATTAGCTACTGTAAGCCATCATGGATATTAGCTACTGTAAGCCATTGTGGCTATTATTAGTCACTATAAGCCATCATGGCTATTAGATACTGTAAGCCATCGTGGATATTAGCTACTGTAAGCCATTGTGGCTATTATTAGTCACTATAAGCCGTAGTGGCTGTTAGCTACTGTAAGCCATTGTGGCTATTATTAGTCACTATAAGCCATCATGGCTATTAGCTACTGTAAGCCATCATGGATATTAGCTACTGTAAGCCATTGTGGCTATTATTAGTCACTATAAGCCATCATGGCTATTAGCTACTGTAAGCCATCATGGATATTAGCTACTGTAAGCCATCATGGATATTAGCTACTATAAGCCATTGTGGCTATAAGCTACTGTAAGCCACTGCTATTAGCCATTGTGGCCTTTAGCATATTTTGACTACCAGCTTTTGCTATATACCGCTGCCACATTATAAGCATACAGTAATGGGATTTATTATCCATCCGCAATTTCTCATTGGTCAAATCAGATTAAGAAAACATATTTGTGATCACAATATTTGAGATCACAATGCCATATTATATACATATATATTAATCAGAATCATATCAAGAAGTATATTGGAATGAATAAAAGAGTCCTACTTTTTATATGTTTTAGTCGTTGTAGTATATTAAGTATAGATTATATAAGCTTATTTAATTAAATCATATGTAATTTATATAGTCTGCATGTGTTAAAGTATTGCTAGATCGTTGCGCTTTATAATATGCAAAATAATGTCTTTCGTGATAGCAATGTTGTTTTTGCATATTCCTTCATTGTGTGCATGCATAAAATTGTATTTCTAGATCCTTGCTATTGATAATTTGCTCGTTAGAATTAACTTCTTTTGTTACATATAAAATTTGCATGTTTTAATTTTCAGCGAAATAAGACACTGCATGTATTTGTCTTTTTATAGTAATTGAAATCTAGCTCTAACATATGCTTGCTTGAAAACTCACAATGTAGCTATAATTTCAACTTGCAAAATCAGAAATTAATTAAAAAGTATGTATGGATGTCCATTGATCAGATGAAATATGTAGTTGTATGCACTCACCTTCTTGTATACTGCACATCTCTCTTGTGGTGGTTCATGGTAGAAACTTATATGTGGTGTTTCAGGCGATATGCTAGGCACAGAAAGTATAGGTTCGGGGGACTTAACAGGGGACGACGATGATGATGGCGATTCAACAAGTTCAAAGCGCAATAAGAAACGTGGGATCTTCCCGAAAGTTGCTACGAATATTCTCCGAGCGTGGCTGTTCCAACATCTTTCAGTAAGTCCCCACTAACGCAATCCTTCACGTTTCAGAAAGTAAAAATTGTGCCCCTTTTCTGCTTTTTAAGGTGATGGCTTAGATAACAGCCTAGGTTCGGGCGAATGTACAACAGATCTCGAAGAAGGTGATGAAAAAACATCAAAATCACGGCGAAAAAGAGGCATATTTCCGAAAGCAGCTACAAATATAATGAGGTCATGGTTATTCCAGCATTTAACAGTGAGTGAAAAACTGTAGTGGAACATCCTATTTCTCTGTATTATAACCAAGCACCTATAGTCTTAGACTTTTGAGCACTGGAAACCGTCTCTTCACGCTTTAAATGTGCACTAGCTAGATTCTAGGCCAAACTTGGCACACTAGATCCCATTTTGGACAGGGATTTTTCACTCCCTGTGTAGTACAAAATACCCCATGGTACTCTGTTCTACCCAGGGAGCTGTATTAGTATCACCCTTCTAGAGGACTTATATCCAGGGGGTATACTGGAATAGCCATTATTATTAGCACCTGTAGTAGTGGTCGGTTACCGTTGGTTACCATGGACATATGCCGTCTTCATCACGCTTCTTGTAACATCACATCACCTTAGAAAGGAGAGGGGACACATATCTGCTTTTCACACTTTTCGTTGAAATTAAAAATCACACTTTGACTTATTGGTTGAGACCGTGGGCTTTCTAGCCCTGGGTTGAGATTAGTAACGATTTTACATGTTTTTCAATACATAACATTACTGTTTAATTATTAGTATGTGTAGATGCATTTGAATGTTATTGTGAGAAATGTGAAGATATCAACAAATACGATTTTAAATTGTTGTATTTTCACAATTCAGTTTGGGTTGAATCAAACATTATGTTTGAACCTGTATGATACGTGTATAACAAAGTTCACACTTTGAAATAATATAACTCTTTTTACTATGTATTCATTTCTTATTCTAGTTTATTTTTTTAGTTTTTCTTACAGATACAGGTAAGTAGAACTGTTATTTTTGTTATTTGAAATGTTATCAACTTTTTAGGAAGATTGAATTAAGGAGAAAACCAACTGGAATAATAGGACCATAATGGACAATTTGCGTTGTCATAATTTGACAATAATTTCAGAGTTGACATGCCATTTTAAAGTGTTCAGTGAAAATTATACAATTCAAGAACAATTATGTTTTAAGGCAGAAAAGGTTTAAATGTTAAGCTCACCATATCAAGTTTTTAAGAATTGTGAAATAAAAAAATGAAAAATTCTACTTACAAATAAGGTTATAATTTCAACTTATAGTCAACTTTGAGTTTCAATGATTCTTAGTTTTATTGCCTGTAACCTTTGAGTGGAGGTCAGAAACGAAGTTACAAATCATCCGATTTCTTTATAATCTTATCTTTAAGAGCCCCTAGTAAATCACCATATATTGATCCATGCAATTGAAAGGAGTTTCAGACTTGTGACAGCAAAAAAACAGGCCTTTCTTTTAAGACAGAAATGTTCACTTATAATACCTTGCACTGTAATACATCATTAGAGTTCAGTTTCGTTCATTGACAATTCCCACTCACCCTTTCATTATACCGCAATACGGGGGCATTACACTATTCAGAACTTCAAAAAATGATTGTAAAAAGTCAGTGATTTTAATGAAAAGGAATTTAAATGTAGCTAGGTTTTTTGGGTTTGGTTAAAAAAGATAAGATGTGACTTTTATAGCGTTAATTATAAAATATTAAAACTATTGGCAGTCGTGCAAAATAAAGATAAACGCTTGCATTCATATCTTTTAAAACACATCTTGAAATTGGATTATCCGAGTAAAATATGATATTCCTGAAGTATTCTTCAAAATATTTCCGCTAATTTGCTACGTTTTGGTTAGTGTCTGCAAATGTTTCTATATTTGATATGCAAATAGATAGCATGTGCTAAATGAGGTAGGCTCCTGTCATGGAATACCTAAGACCAAAATCACTATACATTAGTGATCAAATATAATAATTGAAACTGTCTTATTTATATCAATCAATCAATTCTAATTCAGAACCCTTATAAGGAAAAATAATTAATCAACTATAATTTTCCTCTGGAAATATTTGAAAATCGTCTAATATATAATCCCACCCTCAAAATATATTCCCATGTTTTGCGATTGTCAATTGTAACCAATGGTCGAAATGAACAAAACAGTTGAGATTTCTTTTGTGTTGTTGGCCATAACCTCTTAATGGAGTTCAGACCCCTAGGATGGGGTCAATTGTTTCATACAAACAATCCACAAATTGACCACTAAGAGATTGCTCATTTCTCCAGTATGGCAGGTTGAGGACGCCTTTTGGTTATAAAGTCACGAAATAACAATAGATTTCATTGTTTGCTCCTCTCCGTGTTTTTCCATCCAGATTAAAGTGATTACAATTAAAAACAAATTAATATGAAGTGCTTCATGATTTTTGAGATTCGAATTTTTAAGATTTCGTGTTGAGTCTTAAGATAACCAAGGCAGATGTCTCAAGAGGTAAAAGAACTGAGTTTCAAACTGATCTTTTCAAATCATACAAAAAGTTTAATGAATAAAAATATCATTAACTCAAATAAAAATGTTTAGATGAATAATATTAAATAAAGGCTCATCTCTCTGATAAGCTATAAATCTTTTTAAGTGATCACTATTAAAAATAGAAGTATGAAATTAAAAAAAATCACTGACCCCAGTATACCTCATGAATGTCCAATCTTCCAGAAAAAAATTGCACCAATAAAAATTATCATTAGCGTAATGGTTGTTTCTTTTAGAGTATATTGTTTGCTTAATATCCTTTATGAATCCAGATGTTAAAGTTTCAGTAGCATAATATACAGAGAAAATACTAATTTATTAAAACATAAACTCAGTGTTTCTCAAGTAATAAATGAGGGAGGCATTATATCTAATATGTTATGATTTTTTCAAAGTATAATTTTCAATTCATAAAAAGCTAACATCGTACAGGCATCAAGTCTTAAATAACAGAATACACGTTTCTAGCTTCTTTCTAGAGAATCCAGAATGTTCAAGGTGAGAATGAGACAGGTGGTCCCCTAAAGTCAAGATATATTTAAATATTTTGCAACAAGGAGCAAATAGGAGCTTTATCTCTGTTTTTATTTGATTCATTATTTACTTATGCTGAATGTTATCCTTCTAATCTGAATGGTTATTATTTTCTTCAGTCTACAAAGTGTTATAAAATACATGATCTGGGTCGAGTTTCGGCTATTTGCTATAGATACTATTTCCTTCATGAATTCAATCTCTGATTGAATAACTACTCAATTTTAATTAATTGTGTATTATAGTACACGATACTATGCTAATAACTTTGATAAATAATTTTAATGGGTTTTTCTCAACAACAAAAAGTGTTCAACAAATATCAGATTGATACAGCTGGACTCAAAGATAACTTTTTAATTACTGAGAAAAAAAACTATTTTTACAGTTGTATCCTAGTCAGTATTGTTATTGGTCAACTTGTATGTTTTTCTATGTTTCCAGTATATTGTTCCTAGATCATTCACCAATATTTATCTTCCATTCTTGCAGTTTTATTCCAGTTTGTGCACTTTGGATTTCCCTATACTTGTTGCTCTTGTTTTTTCCTCTCGGCAATGTATCACTGAACGTCCATGTATGAGGAATGAATTCATTTTTCAAATCTTGTAGTAACATTTCATCGTCTCTGAGATGACAAATTTCGATGATATCTGAAAAAAGGTTTCAATTGTATAAGATGTGCTTGAGTATGTATCTATGTGTTAGGTAACCACCATATGGAAACGAGATACGTAACTGAACTTCAGACTGAACATCAAACCGATGAAACAAACTTCAAAGTTTAGGATATTTTGTTGCTAAAATAATCTGAGGGTAATATGTGTTTAACTAAAGCCCCATATAGCCAGTCTGGGTTCTGAGGGCCTTTGAAGTGACCCCGCAAGGAATCCCCTCCAGTTATTCAGAATTCATCGCTTTCTCTTTAGAAACTTGTTTAAGATTTCTCAATTTTTGTATCTATATGAAATTCAAACTTGGACCTTTTATATGGAACAATGTTCCTTGCTAATACCTCTTATTGTCCATGTATATTATGTGTATAACTGACAAGATTGTGAAGTTTTTCTGCCGGATACGGGGATCTGCGTGTGTTACCTACCTTACATCAAAGATGGTTTTCTTGTAGGCAAGCATGTTGGGGATATTTCCAACTGTTAGTGGAAAAACTCAACACTTGTGAATGGTTGTTGGAACTCTTTTAGAGAGTGTAAAACAGACTTATTCGCCTCGCATGGCTCGTGTTAAACTGATGTAGTAAACATACATATTGACTCCATTTGCGCATCTACTGATCTCACACAAAGTCGACATGGTTTTTTCTCAAACTTACCTACCAGGGATTTGATCTTAGCCATATGGTAAAATCATTTTTGATGCTTGGGTTCTACTAGAAAAATAATCTCAATAAAAGATTCATAAATGAGCTGAAAACCTGCTGGGTATATGAATAACATATTCTTTATAGAGTCTGGGGTCTCCCTACCTTTAGTATACTACTGATTAGAAAACCTGAATGTAGAAATACCATAGATTTTATGGAAGGAACTGACTCCTTTTTTCAATACCATATTTTACTGGAAATGTGTGTATTTCCGTATGTTTAGAGGAATTGAATATTCTAGCTCTGTTTTGGTGTGGATGTAATTCTCGGATATATGGAGAAAGAGTGGAATTAGCATGAAGTTTTCTTAGGTTTTGAGTGGCTCTATTAAGGTACTGTTCATCTGTATATCGGGTATACAGCACATCTGTTTTCTGCTTTTTTCATGTGGGTTCGTCCAGGCTGCCTCATTGCCAGTGTTTTTACACTTCATTTTCAATGTAACTAAAAGGGGTATTGTATATCACACTGTACAAGCCCTCACTTTGAACACAAGCCTCAGAACATATCCCTGATGTAGAAGTTTTG